TGAAAATAATCTTTTTGATTTTTTTCTCCTTACAATCTGTTCGATTTCCCACCTTCCTTGTTTTTTTTTCAACCCTCATCTTCTAAAGGGGTCTTGTATTGGCCGCGAAATCTTGTTACTTGTTATCATACTAGCCCATACTGCTTCCTTTGTTCAACCCATTTAGCAACACTTCGATACGTAGTGCAGGTTATTTGGCATCTTTCCCATTTGTTTCCTCACCTCGCTCAAGTAACCATTATAGTCCCATCTCGGTTCCCTGCCCATGAGCAACCATCAAGTAGTGTAGGTATCTACACAGTACGTGCGTACATCTTGTTGTACACCTTACGGCTGCACCAACCCCCCCGCGCCTCTTCCGGTCATGTTCCTGGCAGGGAGCGTCAACGTGACTCATTCCGAGTTTATACTTGTCACTTGCGCACAGTAGTAGGTGTATGTATAATCAATCAGGTAGCGTAGGTACACTACGCTAGGCAGATCTAACCTTTGCCGGTCTCAAGGGATATATCAGAGTTTGTTGTCTGCTGTCAATATTGGTATTGAATTACAAGCTGGCAGGAGCTATATCCGAATCTTCCGTTGCTTGGCATTGTTGTTGTTGGTAGCTAGTAGTACTCAGGTAGTGAGAGATGAGAGATGTTGTCTATTGGTCCTTGGTTATAGGTTGTTGGCAGCACAAGACCAATTGGCCCCTGGGGTGTATAAAGACCGCGGGTTGTATGGGTGTGGGTGTGGGTGTAAGGGTCAATTTATTGTATAACTTGCTTATTATGTACGTGCCTCTACAAATTTTGGGTGCGTGACCTACCCTTGGTATTGTTAGGTGCTCCCGCTTCTATTAATCGGTATTTGTACTGTAGGTACCAAACAAGACAATCACAATGTGTAGAGGGAAGGGGTATGTAGGGCGACGGTATCAAAGAACGCGAACAAGGAAAGAATGACATAGATATAGTGGGAGGCGTCAGGCACAGCGGACATCACATGGAAGCCTGCGAATTGGACAGCCTGATTGGATGAAGGTGTTGGTGTGTGGGATGTTGAGTGGACTGTTGGTTCGTGTGTTGTCATGGAGACTAATTGGAATGAACAAAGAAACCAACGGTATTGGAATCACTAAGCATCTAAGAGTATGTGACAACAGGTCAGACCGTTGCTATCTAGAAGGAAGGACTTGGCTTGTTTGAGAAGAGAGTAAGTAGTATATCTCTCGTTCCACGTTTTGTTCCGATCGATTCAGGCGCATTAGGCAACATGCTGAAATCTCAATTGATGATCGGAACCCTGCATCGCTAGCCCGTCCAAGTGACTCCGGGCGAGACATGTTCATCCTTATGCAAGTGCCAAGGAAGCATGTACATGCCACTATGCTTACCGATAACAGATCTACAGTTCATTATGGAAATCTCAATGTTTGATGGGACATGCTGCCATGGAAACTACAACGACATCAAAAGGCACCGACGGGGAGCGAATCTAGCACAAACACGTTGTTATTAGTGTTGCGCGAGCCGGAGCATTGAGGCTCTGGGGAACCTGCTCCAGCAGCCTATGCCAGGCCATAGGCCACAAGAGTCCATGGTTGGGCTGTTCCGATTCCTTATCTGCGTCCTGGTTATGAATTTGCCATATTGATCGATACATAAGGGTCAGCAAGTCACAGTCACCACATGTGAAACAGGTGTTATGCACTTTTTGGTGCTCGAGGTACGTATCGTGTACAGCAACGAGATCGATAGCATGGCAGAGGGTGAGCGTAGTGTAGGAATGTACCTCTTAGGGTAGCGGGAACCCTTCAGAGGCAGACAGATGGCCGTGAATGGTCGATGTACCCGCTCAATCAGCCCTAGGATACGCCCCGAGAGGCGATACAAGAAACATGGCGAGCGGGCCAGTGACCAATGTTAGGGCAGACATGGCCTCGATTGGCTGCCTTGTTATCGATGAAACATCTCGTCACTGTCAATCATGAGCTACGATTAGTCAATCGAGCTAATGAATACCTTCCTGTGTCTGAAGTCTCAGCAACAGTACGTAGTGAAGCCATTGATACCGTGCTTGATGGAGCATAGGAGGGCCTCATGCCTTGGATTTATCGCAGTTCCCATTGTCATTACACCCTTTTCCGGGAGTCTAGCGGAACGGGATGGTCCTCGTGGTCGAGTCTCATAAGTCCAATGTCGTCCTCATGCTCGTCTTTACTTTCATCTTTAGCGCAATCTAAAGCGGATAAGAGGCGATTGGGAAACAAGTGGGTGTGGTGGTGGTGACATCTGGTGAGTGGGAGTGAGACAAGTGACGGGACCAAGGTCAACCCCATGACGAGGGGTAGCCAAGATTGGCAAGGTCCGATTGTCAAGTCAGGTGACAGAGTCATGGTGTGTCGGCTGCGAGCTGTTGTTCAGGCGGATGCGCGGACGCATAGTATGTGAAAATACTACGAGTGGTGGCATACTACGGTAGATTGATCGATAAACTCGCGCCTTACTGCGTGGTTCATCTGGCGTGATTCAAGCTCTTCTTGGTATGGTGGGATAGAAAGAGGCGTGTCTTGGCTTGTCAGTCTGAGAGCGCAGACACGATTCTGAAGAGGTGTCGAGTATGGCAAAGTATTGTAGGAAGATAGTATTCGTCGAATCTGACCGTGTAGCGCACAATGCGCATGTTTAAACTGAGCTGCCCAAATATTCGAAGGACATTCTCTTTCCCAACACTTTTCGGCATGTGGCACCTAAACTAGATGCTTGGTCGTTCTGGGGGGCAGTGCTCTAAGTGTAAGTGCGTCAACCGCTATCGAGAACCCTGTATCTGCAAGGGGAACCACACCAGAGCCAGGGTTGTGATCTGTCTGTCAGCTGGAGAAAATTCCGGTTGACCAACCAACTGTGTCCAACGCGCCCGTTCGGGGCAGCAATCATTGTATCGATGCATGAACCCCGGATGCTAGGTCAATAAACAGAACTTGGAGATGGGAATTGAGTTTGATGCCGGCTCCATCATTGTTGTAAGAAGGTAAACATCTTTCCCTTACTCAATGTTTTGTTTTGTTCTTGACGTTGGTTCTGATTTCGGACTTGTTTGCTTGCTGTTGGAAGGGGTTTGATAATGAGTTTGTCTCTTCCATGAAGATATGTCTTTGTTTGTTGCTGAATGGAGTTTTGGTCTGTAGTCCAGGGCGAAGATGAAAGGATATTGGAGCCCAAAGCCCAGGCACGCCAGGGTCGAAGCGCTGAAAATATTGCTTGCCTATTTGGTGGTTGGCAATCGGTCTTGTCCAAAGGCCTTTGCCTCATTGGCGGTATGTATGCCATTGCCAGCATTCAATGCATCTAGAGCCTGTCACCGCCATTGTCGGTCAAGAGGTCGGGGTCGGGATTGAATGGACGGCTTGAGTTGAGATGATCAGGGGTTGAAAGCGGGGTCCGTCCAAGGTTAACGGGAGGGCCCACAAGTCCACCGGGATGAGAGCCGGCCGAGTGGATGCTCGCGTGTCCGGCTCCGCGCCGTCACACACACGCGGGCGCTGCGGGGAGAAGAGGCCCATCTGGAGGCTGGTCAACCCCGCGGTGTGTTTTCGCTGGTTGCTTTTGATAGAATCTTGGTTAGGCTTGGGATGCCGGTCCCTTGATCGCTGCCTCCCTTGATCGCTGCCTTCATGCAGTGAGGAGGGGAATTCGATGAGCAGGCTGACGATAAGGGTACGTGGCATCCTGGACAGGCACGATCAAACGTTTCTGTGGTATCCAAGACGGGGAGCCTTTCTGTCGTGCTGCCACATACGTGATGTATAGCCCACCAAGGTGGAAAGGACTGGCGGCTTGTGCAGGACGCGAATGGGCCGTTGAGGCTGCTGAATGCTGCTCTCGACAGCACGGTCTCTCAACAGCTCCATCGTGTGGTAGATATGCCTCTCTGTAGGAGGCCATCAGGCTTAAGTGCGGAGAAGAACAGTATCGGGATATATCGCTTGAGTGAGCGAGGTAAGACGAATGATAGAAGCACACTCGGTGATCTGTGGTGATCCGTTTGTAGGTCCCGTCGTCGATGTGGAAGGAGTACTTTGCTGGACTTCAAGGGACCTATTGGTACCTACCTACCTTATACCTCACTGCCACTTCCATTTCTCGTTCATTTAAGGTAATTCTCGATAACGCAGCTGATAGCGGGGTAAGTTCCCTCACTTCTAGACCTGGTTACCCGTAGTAGCGTGCATAGTACTTTTAGCACACAAAACGACTCCAATGCAATTCTTCGACGGAACCGCGAAACTCGCAAACTCCACCATACCTAGGATTCACCAAACAGCTATGGACCATGGAGGCCAAGTTGCTTGTTAATCCAATGCTGGCCCTTCGGTCTGGAGCGGGAGGCGACAAGGTCAATCGGTGACTCACCTTACCACCTTTCGCTTCCACTTTTTTATGAAGGCAACACACCAGTGCCATGCCATCGACATCATCTGCCTTCCAGCATGCTCCCAATTCGCAATTTGTCATACAGGTACGCTCGGTACGCAGCGGTCTTTGCATGCTCTCGTCCTTCGTCCCGTGGTCGACGTCTGATTGGCCAATCGCTTTCCTCCCATCCAAATCTCCATATACGCAGTCGTACTTGCATTTGCATGTAGCAAAATACTGGCGAGAATAGTCCGGATACACCGCCCGCGCGCGATGAGCTGTCCGTCTTTCCCTTTTTTTTTTTTTTTTTTGGATTCAAGTTGTGCCCATTGAACTGCACCAGTGGGGCCCTTTGACAATTCTGCGTTTGCCAGTCTCCGAAACACCCGTTTGCGCCTACTGTAGGCCCCGTTTCTGCGACACGCTGGATGCCCAATACAGTTGGAATATCTGCCCAATTGATAACACCAACTGCTACGACCTGACGGAGCGATGAATGGCGCGATTGGAGCTTGAAATTGGATGGCAGTGAACTGACATCTTACTACAATGCAAACCGGGCACCGGACGCATTCGGAAGTTCATGCTCGCCGAAAGCCAGGCCTCATCACGACAGCGAGAGGTATTGCATCAAATAACGAGGCATGCTTGGATGATGAAGTGAGTTTTGAAAACTCCAGAAGCGTGGTCTCTGCCAATGGGTCATCATATCATCAATCGAACTCGCAGACCATGTCGTTGCTAGCATGGTTCCCGCCACAGCCGACACCATCTCGCTGTTACGTTGAGGCTCGTCCAAACACCTCCAATAAACTCCCTTCCCGTCTGGCCTTTGCAGGAGGCGGCACCGATTTCTCAACGATCGGAAACAAAATGAAGTTTCTCTAATCAACCGTGGCAATCGATGTTAATCATCTGTACGACATTGCAGCAAATTCGTCCATCGCAAGAGCAAGAGATGCCTCACTACGCATTGTAGTGGACAAAGCAAATGTTAGCTGATGTTCAAGCTCTACTGTCGGCAGAGACGTGTAACAACTTACAATACGTGTACGCAGAGTTTTGGAAATCATGGAGCTATTGGAACAAACTGGCATGCTTTGCTTCCCTTCGGTCGGCTTGATCTGCGCCAGGGTTTGAGGCTCCAATGGCACCGATTGATCATCGCTTCAGAGTCCATGGCCGGTTTGTGAACAGCACCACCAAGTACTAACTCTCAAACTAAGTTCAAGGATGTACCTGACCGGACTTTGTGCCAAGCCATGTCTCAGTCTTGCCTTACTGATAGGGATATGTGTAGTTACAGTGCGTGCAGGTGATCACCGGATTGGCTGCGTCCCAAGTCACGGCTTGCTCTGAAGCGGGCTTCAATGGCTTACGGACCGGGGCGTGGCAACCCTGTGAAGGAAGAGGGTGACTCCAAAGGTCAGCGAATGACTCTTTCGCAATCCAACAGTGCATCAATTGGCAAAGCAAGGCAGCAGCAGAAGAAGAAGAAGAAGACGTTGGAACTTGGGAAACACAGTGAACAGGCACACGAGTCCCCCCGCGAAAAAGAGCGAACATGGTGAGTGATGAAGGGATCCATAAGGTATGTAGTAGTAGTACCTATGTTTGCACTTAGCCTGCTCAGGTCCCTCAGGATGCTCAGCTCAATCAAGTGTAAGCGCCCCATGCCCTCTGCCCCACTGTTTGGGTTTCCGTGCCCCAGCAGAGGTGAGGTTCTACAATGGCCGCGTCAGTCGCTTGAAGCCTAGCATCGAAAGCGAGAGCAGCAGCCAGAATTTGTATGGGATAATGGGAAGGTGATGACTTGATGAGGTCAGGATCCATAAGTTCCAGTTGACGGGAACCAAGAAAGCATTGCCATTGCGACAAATCAATATCATGCTGAGTCTCAGCTGCCCTGGCTGTGATGGGGAAGGTCACAGACCTTCTTTATCTTTGGGTCCGACGGTGTGTAACCTGTATCGCATCGCATATCCCGCACGCATCCTAATCGGATTACCGACGGACTGTGAAGTTGGGGTACCTAGTTCAGCTACACTATACTTGTCCAGGTACATCTTGCTGGCTTGGGTACCTTGGCCGCTTATACCCCCGCGTGGCAGGAGGTACCGACACAGTTCGACATGGAACTTTTGGTGCATCTCCCTGTCGGCGGCGATGTGAAGGTGAGCGGAAGCAGGCAGAGAGGGAGGCATGGCAGTGGGAGGGGGTGGCCCGCTCCTTCTGGCTGTAGTGCCGCATGTTTTGCACATGCCCGGCATCCTTTCTACATGCCCGTATGCCCTACCGCCCTGGGCCGTTGCCTCTCTTCGGTTTCCTACTTCTGCTTGCTCTGCTACCTCTTTTGCAAAATCTCCCCTCTTTCTTTCTCTTCCACCGTCTCACCCTCCACCCCGCCACCATTCCAAATTTTGCTATTGTTACTTCCCATTGACTTACATAGCTGACTTGTCAATTGGATGAACGCTCTTCAGCTATCGCTATTATTCAGGTTTCAATTGGGAAGCACTGCCTGCTCCGCCGACGCAAGCCTTCCCCTCTCGGGTTCCAGCTGCTTCGATTCTATTGACGGACGGGATCTCATCAAGGTTACCTTCCATCCCGTTACTAATACAAAGTGTCCCTACCAACCCCTAGCAGCGGGGCGCTAGACTGGGGCTGCACGGTGCACCGTTAAAACGCAGCGCAGCCCGAACTTTGACTGGACCTCAACTGTCATCTCAGCACCAGACCAAGTCCCGGCCGCTGGAATCTCAAACCACTACTCCACACTTGCTACCGGGGCCCAGAATAGAGACGTTCCTATTGTTCCACTTCGATACCCTCAACCACCCCCCCGCCAACCCGAATGGCAACGAATGGTGGCAAGCATCTCGAACAATAAGGAAGACATCGCACAATACCCAGACGCAGGATCATGTAGTGTTGGCTCGCATTGTGTAGCACTCGTCGAATTGACAGCAAAACGCAGGCCTTATCCGGCCATTCAACGCTATTCAAACACTGACGAACAATAATTGCCCAAACAACAATCGCACAAAGCACTGGCTGCCTGACGTTGCGCGACTGTTCTTAAACGCCTCTTGATCACCAGGAACACTGTCGGCTTCTTCCTCTTCTACAACTTTTTCCGGACGGCTATCATCTTCGCGACCGATTGGAACCGTCAAGGATCTTCCCAGTCCACCAGTCACTGCCATTGAAGCTCATGCCAGGCACCAGCTCGACTCATAAACCCTATCGGTCCTTGATCGTCACCCATTGACGCTATCAACCCATCGTTCGCCACCCATCCGAAGAACACCACCATACAAAATCCACGAACCAGTCCTTCCATACATCTCCCATCAACCGTCGATATCCGCCCGAGACGTTTTCAAGTACTACGCTCCTTCCAAAGTCAGCAGGACGAACATTCCATCCCTCAGCATCTCACAAAGGGCAACAAACCTTGCCATAATGTCTGGCAAGAACGACAAAGTCCTACAGCCAGCATTGTTCCCAATGGATTACACTATGATGCCAATGTCATCCACTTCGACTTCTTCCAAGCCCAAGCGGCCGTTTGACATCAGCAACCTCATGTCTCCTCCTGGTCCAGCTCCTTACGAGACATTCAACCTTCGTGACGCCGCAATGCCACCCTCAAAGCCCATGTCCGCTGCAAGCAGGCAGCTGGGACCGAACCCGCCCATATCTCCTCCCATCTCCCCCTATACTAGGGCGAGAAACTCAATTACAACGGACCCTCGCCTTTCCATTTCGGACAACGACCCGATCCTATATCCTGCTCCCGAATCCGCTGCCAGTCCTCCTTCTGAGCCGCTCTTCGTCCCATCGGTTCCTTCAGCCGAGCCGCTCGATGACTTGGTCAACAATCACATTGCTTCTCGACCCCAGAGCATTGTACGCGCCACATCGCCCCCGAAGCCGGAGGAGTACGAGCTGGTGCTCTTTTTCAAGTCGGAGTGCCTGAAGATGTGGCAGAAGGATCCTCGGGACTGGCTTCGCAAGGAGCGCCAGTATCTGCGAGCTGACAAGAAGAACCATACGAAAGCACGGCCCATAGTTAACAAGCTTCCAACGATTTTGCCCGCCGCTCAACCTTCGGCTCCGGCTCCGAGACCTCAGGTGGCGAGAACCAGCAGCATTGGCCGCGTTCAGAAGCCCAGAGTCACCAAGGCACCGGCCCAAAACCCTCGACCGATTCGGGCAACTCCTACGCACTCTCGACAGACGGCACGTGTTAGCGCCACACCTGAACCTAGGGTGCGAACAGTGGCACCAAACAGGGAGGACAAGGATTTCGACGCTCTTCCCGACTACACACCCAGCATTTTGACGCTGCCCAACACACCCGGCTGTCTGAAGGTCGACTGGAAGGGTAACGCGCTTGACTTGAGCAAAGATCCCAATAGGGCCCTTCTCCATGATGAGGAGCTCAGCCTTGCCGCCGCCCTTCGCCTGGATTGTGCGACCTATCTCACGAGCAAGAGGCGCATCTTCATGAGACGCATTGAGTGTGCCAAAATTGGCAAGGAGTTTCGCAAGACAGACGCTCAGCAAGCGTGCAAGATCGATGTGAACAAGGCATCGAAGCTGTGGACGGCGTACGAAAGGGTTGGCTGGCTTGACCCTAAGCACATTGAGAGGTTTCTGTATAACTGAGAGCCTCCAGTCCTGGATGCAATGGTTCTGTCCAATCGGGTTGTCTTTCATAACTTGCCATTTCCACAATTGCTCATTTTGGCATTTTCCTGGCGCATGGTACACCCCACTCACTGGTATGGTTGGTGAAACGGCTGGCTAGATTGATGACTTGGTTCGGGATTTTACCCCCTTTTCATGGCCCTGGATATACCCCCGGAGTTTGGCTTGTGGAATCACTCTACTTTCTTGCACTAGTTATTGCTTTTCTCTTTTTTTTCTTTTTTAAATTGCTCCTGATCACATAACGAACACTTTTGCATTTTCATGGCTTGTACTTAACGATCAATATCGATTGGGTCGGTTGGTTTGGTCAGTAGGCTCCGGCTTTGGTTTTTCCTCCCTGGCTCACTCGTATCACGACATCTTTTTTTTTTCTTGCTTTGTCTGGGACAGCCTGACCCCTTTCGCTTCGGAGAAATTTTGTTCACGGGATTTTCTTCATGGAATCGGTCAATTACGGAAAGGGAGAAAGGAAGGATCTCTGTTACTTACTCTTTTGCATGTCACCGGAGATGGACAACATAGCACAACATGGAGGGATTGGAGGGAGGAGGAAGACTGCTAACGGTTTTAACGACATTATACCCCCCATTTTCTTTGTTCCTTATGATTTGCTTTTACTTGGCCTAGCACATGGGTAGAAGCTGTGCCATCCACTTTGTTTTTATAAGTGAACGGTTTACACGTTGATGATGGACAGCTCGGGAATGTAGCTATTGAACAGCGTTTTATGATGGAATGAATGAGATCAAATCAACAGACGCAATTTACCTCGTGAAGATTTGCTTTATTGATGGGTAACATCGATGTGCTTTCAATTGAACATCAAAATCAATTCGACTTGTAAGAGGATGATGGTTGCAGACTGTCGCTTGATACACGTAGTTATCTTAATTCGAGTACTTTTTGCCAATGCCGTTCACAAAGTCCTCCCCGTGAGAGAGTTTTTAGCACTTTGCCTTGAACTGGGTGTACATGGTAGATCAGTGCAGCTCGATTTGTGTGTGGATGATGGATTTGAATTTTACTTGTGTCGTAGTTCGGTTGACAGGGTAATTCTTGGGAGCAATCCTTCCGGATTTTTTGGACCTGCGTTGATTACAAACCAACATGATTTTAGTACGTAGGGGGGGGCGAAATAATTTCTTCGGAAAGACGTGGCATTTGTAATGGTAATATGTACAACGAAGAACGCAGTGATTGAGTTTGCACTGTTCATGGCATGGTAATTGATGTCAAAAGGTAAATGTCGTACTTCATTACACCTTGCATCGCAATGCTAGGTAAATAGATCTCCGTCCAGCCCCTAGCCGGATGTTCTGTCCCTGGGGCACGCTACCGCACAGGAACAGGATAACACGCTATCATACATGCAATCATGTCATTAAATAACATCCCTTCCTCCATTAACATTAACATTATCAAACCCCCTTTTAGAGTCCAGCAGCCAACTTGTACCCACCATCAACGGCCAACGTCTCGCCATTGATGAACTGGTTCGACACCAACGCCAGTACCGCCTGCGCCATATCGATATCGCGGCCAGGACGAGCACTCGGGAACTTGTCCTCATACTTCTCCTTGGGGATATGGCTCTTCTGGAACTCGTCGCTCTCCTCGGCCGTCATCTCGCTAGGGAAGACACCAGGCGCAATGCTGTTGATGCGAATCTTGAGCCCAGCGTTGGCGATCTCGGCGGCTAGCATGCGGTTCAGGTGAACGGCCGCCGCCTTGCTGGCGTTGTAGTTGAAGTGGTGCTGGGCTGACTTGACCTGGCCGCTGATGCTGCTGATGTTGACCACAGTGCCGGACCAGCCTGGGTGGCGCTGGGTGCTAGCTTGTAGGAGGGGCAAAAATGCGGAGGTCATGAAGTAAATGCTAGCCACATTGGTACGGTATGTCTCCGTCCAGTCGTCAAAAGTAGCGTTCTCGTTATCAAACAAGTTGTGCTTGAGCTCCTTGGGGTCGCTGGCCTCGGTGGTTACGCTCGAGCTGGAAATGCCGGCGTTGTTGACCAAGATGCAAAGACACTTCTCGCGGGATTCGATCTCCTTGACCAGAGCGGCAATGTCCTCCTTCTTAGTCACGTCTGCCTGCAGGGCGATGATCTCGCCCTCGACGTCCTTGTTGTAGATCTCCACCACCTTGTCCAGCTTCTCCTTGTTGCGGCCGGCGATATACACCTTGGCGCCGTTGACGGCGAGAGCTTGTGTGGCCATAAGCCCGATGCCAGTGCCGCCGCCGGTTACGAGGGCGACGCGGCCCGCGAGGTTGAAGAGCGAGTTGCGGTTCAGCTCGGCGTGGCTGGCAGCGGAGGCCGACTTGGTTCCGGTCGACATTGTGTAAGATTGTTGGTGGAGAGAGGATGGAAAACTGGTTCTGGAAGGTTTGGATGAACTAATCGCGGTCGCTAGAGTGGTTCGCGCAGTGGTGTTAAGTGCTCTTGTTCTGGTTACGGAAAGAAGAGTCCTGGTGGAGGGTCTGAGGAAGCGTGTGGGTAGAGATTGAATCATTGTCTAAGGTCAGGAAAGGAAAGGGGGAAAAGGTGAACCTCGACAGAGGAAACTTATTTTATACTGAAGTTCATGCAGGCATGGAAGTCAACAATGCATCCCATCGAGATCATCCTAACTTATTGCAGTGGTAAGAGCGACGGAGAATAGTGAAAGTCATGACGAAATCGATTCTAGGACCCCTGCAACCACTGACGAAATTGGTGCTGGTGCGCCTTCCCTTTTCATCGAATTTGAGGGGAACCGGCAAATCAGCGTCTAGCGGCAGGGAAGCAGCCCCGGTGCCTGCCTGTCACCTTGACCCCACTGCGGAACTCCACCCATCGGTGGACTTGTAAGACAGTGGACCCTGGGAAGTTGCAACAGCTGCACAGCGACGACATGAACACTCAGCTTCGATCGCAAGGGCGAAAGTGATGCAAGAAAGCGGAGAGACACACCCCTTCTCTGTGTAGGTGATGTCCTTGTCACAGCTGAGATTTTGAGGTAGAGATCGCATGATGTTAAGTAGTATCCATCGATCATCAGCCGTTTCTAAAACGTCAGAGGCACGGGAGGTCCAAGGAATGGACCATCATCTTATCCAGCCTATCTACTTGAACACGCCGGCTTGATGTGCATGATGGGTACATACGGCGCCTCGGGACTATACTACTATGCAGAGTGCATTGCAAATTTGATGGAGTTGCCAGACTGCCCCGAGTTATTGGGGGTATGCATCAATGACTGAACGTCTTCCACTGTACATGGATTATTTCTCAACCGCTCTCCAGTCTCCATTATTCTCGTAGATACGTTCTCCTCGAATCGAATCCCACTCATTCGCCATCGCATCAGTCGCGATGCTTCGCAGCCGCCAGCTCAACATCAGTCCTGGGTCAGAAGTGGCTCAAGTCGCCGACGGGAAGTTTCACAGTGATTCGCATCTCCTAATGAAAGACATGTGAAGAAGAGCTACATCAAACAGCAGGGCACCGCCTCCCTGTTCAGGAAAGAAAGGTTGGAGTGAAGAGAGAAGGAGCATTTACGTAATCATCAAGTCTGTCCTGAATGACAGGGAGCAGAACTCATCTTCTGCAACCTCCCCGCTACCTCAAACTTCCCCTCATCAACCCTCCAATACGCCCCGCTCAGCGCCCAACAAGCCAGAATAACCAGCAGAAAGATTTCCGTACGATCTCTCGAATTTGAACTCCGCGTAATTAATTCTGTATGAAGGCGTGGGTAGGGGCAATGATGTTGAGAAGCAGTAGAGATGCATTTACATTTGTCGACCAACACTCTTAATCCCGCTTACGTCTGTGTCAAGTCATTACGCTAACGTCAATTTCGAGGGATCACAAGGTAGCGCAAGGACGGTATCAGTCTTGCAGGTAAAGATAAAGATGTAGGCAACGCAAAACCCCCAAAACGTTAAATACAATGCAATCACGGCGTTATACTCGGGTGTCAACGCGCCGACGGTAGGGTTCGAAGTGGTGTTATGAGGCGCATCAAACTGGAGTGTGGGCAACTGCAGAAGCCCGAGTGGCATCCGGAAGACGGCGAAGAGACCCATAACCACCATAGGGGAGAAGCTGTCCATGACCCATTCGAAGACCATGGCGACGAGGAGGAGGGCGAGGGTCGACGAACAATGATATGTCTTTGTTTACTTCCACGATCAGTGACAAACAAGCCGAAAGATGTAGAAGAAGAGACTATGAAGTAATGACTTACACAACAGACGAGAGATCTTGCTCACCACCTCATCCCATGAAAACCATGGAGAAGGTAAACTTAGAAGATGACGAAACTTCAAAAGTGAATCAGCCAGAAGCTTGTTAGTCTTTCCGGCTACATCATGACCATGAGCAACTCAAGAGAAAAACTGCCGTGAGAAGTACAGCACAACACAGCACAACACAGAAAAACGCATACCAACAAAGCCAAGCCAAGCGCAATCGGGTTAGCAAACCGCCTGATGTAGTCGCCGACATGAAGGATTTTGGGGGTGAGGTAGGGGTTTTCCAAAGAGCTCTGGCGAGATGTCTACTCCCGGTCGTTGACCTGTTGGAAGTGGCCATTTTCCTATCATGAATGGTTCTGGTGCCATTATGGGCTGGGATCGATTCGGTTCTTTCCATGTTAGGTTCTCCTCGGTGAGTTTCCTTTCTGCACACTTCGCTAGGCTTGTTTGCAAGCAATGATTTGAATTATCGGAGGTTTTGAGTGAGTCGTAACAATGGAATAGAGTAAGGCCCGAATTAGGAAAGGTGATGGGCGTGCGAACTTTCTCAGGCGTCTTAGGTGAACCAGTTTCTCGCCTTCAGACTACATCACTCGACATCCAGAAACTCATTTGACGATTCCCATAGCTGGATTAATATCACATCAACTGTTTGCTTTACCAAATAAGCATCTCTGATCTGGTACTCAGAGATCTCAACCTAACTGTTTTCGATTCCTCTTAGGTTATCAAGTATTGGTATCAGCTGCCTCACGTACCGTCCTTCTTTGATTTGTGGCGTCTGACTGCATCTATTTGTACCAAAGGGATTGGATATTTGTATATAGCCTCAGGTTATATGTTTTAGAGGGGGGCATAAGGGGGTAGGGGACACCAAACAATTCGTAGGAAACCTCTGTGCTACATATTAGATAACATAATCCTAATGTTGAGGTAGTTCCCACATCGAATGCTATAAGGGTAACCATCTAAGTTGTAGATGGAGTGAGTCCTTATACCCATATCTATCAGCGCCAGAGGAACCAACATCTTACCAAACTACTCCAGAGTTTCTAAGCCTGCTACACCATCTGGCTGTAATATCTGCCAACATATCTCAAGGCCATAATGCATTCATACATCGAGCAAGTTGATCCAGTTGTGCGGGGATGCTGAACCGAACATCGTAGTACACAAGCGGCTGGCTACCTCTATCCCATCAGCCATCATCAGTTTTTGTAAAGTTTCTTGATATTCCTAACCACCCTTCATAGTGGGCCAGGCGAGCTGGTAGATACAATCATGACCTGATTGCGAATTAGACCCATAGACTAGAGAGCCGCAAGATATGTAGTCATTTGTGGTCGGGTGTCAGTTCAACTTGGACATTTTGCACGCCGAGTAGCACACTGAGCCATCTGAGTGTTCGTCTAACGATCGATCAAAACGTCACCTCTTCAGTACTCTCCCTCACCCTCTTCATCAGATCCTGCAAATCCTTCTCATCCTTCCCGCCCACCACCACATCGCCAATACTCTCCACCTCCTTTTCCTCGTTGCCTGTATTATCCTCGTACCATGCCATGATCAGCATCCGCCCAGTTTCAAACTCCTCCCTCCACGTCTCCATAAACTGCTTCCTCGACCCCCGCAGCGTGGTAGAGAAACTGCTCGCACAAGTCATACCCCTGCTCGTAAAGTGACCTTTGAGCAACGGCAACGCCAGCGATCCCGACGTCCTCACGTTCAAGTCAACAATATACTGCGCCGTCTTCTCGCCATCCGCGGAAGAAATGCCGTTCCCTTGAACCAGTTCATCCTTTGGAATATCCTTCGTCTCCAAAACATCAATCCCCACGGGTCCAATGTATCCATGCTTACCCACCCACTCAGCAGTCTGCCTCATGATCCCCTCAAATTTCTCCTTCAGCCTTTCCTGGCGCGCGTAATTTATCGTACTACCAATCCACGCATTATCCTCATTAATCATCTGCTCCGACGCCGCCAAAAACGTCGCCTCCCCTCCTTTTCTCACCAAAAATGTCACCCCGTAGTCCCCCACGGGATCGCGCACCATCTCGCTCAGCACCACCGACCCGGGCTTCATCTGCTGATTTTTAGCAGTCACCTGCGACAGAAGCTTCCTCAACACTCCGGTCTCGTCATCCATTAACTTCTTCACCAACTCCCGCTTCTTTTCCTCATCACTAACCACCCACGTCCCCGCCCCGCCAAACGTCTGTTGGGTCTTGAACACAAACGGTACCTGTCTAGCATCCACTTTCTCCACGATCCTCTTCATCTGCTCTCCCACCCACCGTCCCCTGGCCCCTTTACACCCCGCAGGGACAAACCTCATGCCACCTTTCCCCACCACATCATCCTCCGCCCGACAAACCTCACAACACTCCCCACCCGCCAACGGCGGTACAAGCCCCTCAACATCAACCACCTCCGCCCTCGGCGTCGGCAGCCCCGACTTAGCAAGTCCAGCCTTGCTGTTCAAAAACCACTGAGTCTCCTGGTTCACCACCAACGGATACCCCTTTCTTTCCAAGTCATCAAGCATGACCTTGACCGCTAACCTGTCAATCCCTAGCTCTTTTACAGGTATCTCGGCGGGTCCGGAACAGAATACCAATTTCGGCCTCTGCTCAGGGCTCAGAACAGCAATCGTCGCTTCGGCCTCGTGCCGGTCGTGCGCCTCTTGCAAGGCGGAGCCGGGCGAGACGTTGAAGAAGATGGTGGGGGTGTGTGGGCCGCCGGTGATGAAGGCGTCGCGTTGGGGGATGAGCGAAAGGTATTTGAGGGCTATGGAGCGTTGGAGCTCTGTTATGGTTAACGAGGCGGCAGCATCTTTGAGCTCGGCGGGCGGGATGTTGTTGAAGGGACTGTCTTGGTAAAGATATTTCTTGTTGCGAGGGAAGGAAGGGGTCAGGGCGATGGCGGAGTTGACGCCGCAGAGGACGAAGCCGAGGCGGAGGTGCGCGGTGGAGGGGTCGGCGAGCTTGTAGAGATCCGTCAGGGTGGTGTCGAGGTGGATGGTGGGAAGGTTTATTGTAGCGGAACCCATTTTCGGGGTGGTGGTTGCTGTTTTCTTTAGAGGTGGTGGCTTGGTTGTTGTATAGGGTCTTCCGGGGGAGAGGACAGATGCTGGAGGACTATTGAAGACTGTGGTTGGGAAACGACGGATGAGGTGCCGGATAGTCACGATCCTCATTGTGGATGGACTGAAGTGAAGGTAAGTGCACGGAATGCCGCTCATTTTGTACTTGTGTCGATCTTGCACTGCACCTGCTGATTAAGTGCATGCACGAAATCTCCAAAACCACTTTCCTGTTGTTGAGGGCCAGGAGAACAGCACCAATAGCATGTGATGGTTCTGGTTCCCAATGTAAACGAGTTAAAACATTCCAAGTATGCCAGCCACTTCATTTGAAATCCATTGCTGGGGTTCAAATAGACTATGAGAATCCCACCCGGTGATCAACGGTGACACGGATTTGCCAAATATATCTTGCAGGCTTCTTTATGATAATCGTGAGTGTTGAGGCAGAAGTTGCGTTTGGCGATAAGATAAATGACATCATGTTCCGAGCAAGTGTGATGGGAAGGCGGGATGGGCTCTTTGGCTGACAGTGACGGGACAGGGTGAGCGGGTCTCGCCGAATGATCGAACGGGACATTGACGTGCAAGACACACCTTGGTGGTGACCTGAGACGGCTATGGCTGCGGCTGAGATCACATAGCCTGGGTCATCATATTGCGGTCGTCAATCAGTTGTCGAAAATATAACCAAGAAACTCTGACGATCAACTTCAAGACCCGTGGGTGTAGGTGCAATCACATGAACACGTTTCGAAGGGAACAGGCGAATGTCTACCTCTAACGTGCTGATTCCTAGAATAGTGATTATGTCGTCCGAGTCTTGTGTAGATTGAATAGGTAATGGGATGAGGCAAATTGAAAGAGTAGAGAGAAATGCATGAATTGTAAATGGCTCATCTTGTCATTGTCATAATTGTAGACTTGACGAGTAAACCAGACCCAATCCTCAATTCATCGGGAGGTTGTCAAGTGATACGTCAGCGAGGCTGCGGCATCAGGCAGGTCCCGAAATCTCAGTGGCTGCCGTAATATCAGCGTAACACAAAGCGCACCCTCTTGTCCATAGGTAGTTCTCTATTGGTGATGAACACCTCTAACAACCCAGCCAATCAACGCACCTCCTGAAGTATCGCGTAAAGGTCAGGGTAGGGGATGGTCGTTAACTTGCGTTCTGTTCTGTTGGTCCAGCGTTTAAAGCTCCATGTTTACACCATCATCCGATAGGTCAGCCCTCTCGCCTAACAAGGTTCTGTTCTCACCCTCTGGCGGACTACCATTCCCGGCCTTCGTATTTGACTTCCGCCATGCTCGTATCTTACGACGAGCTTCCCTTGCCCAAGCGCTCAGCCTCCAACTCCCTCTCGGCCTGCTGGTAGTACTTGGCTGTGTCGACACCATGCTGGTTGTGGTTCACAAAGTTGAACCAAGGGAGGACAGCGAAGAAAAGGGCCGAGTATCTCGACTGACGAGCAGCCATGCCTTGAACATCGACAGGCAGAGTACTGACACCGTAAAGTGGCTGACCAGCCTTGACCTTGTCAACCATCTCACGCATGTCCATCTGTACCTCGCGGGCGTTCTCGCTCATGCCATAGAAACGGACTGTTACCATGTTAGCGCACTGTCAAGAACAGAGCCTCTTATCACCGGGATATCCCTGCGACCACTGCCATTTGGGACTGCGGTGAACTTGAGGAGAATGGCGCATGTTGAAGAGAACGAGGATAACGTACGGATGGATCGTTGGTAAAAGTAAAGAAAGCCACCGAAGAAACCCACGGCGGTTGCCAGTCGCATCGCCTTGGGAAAGCCACCCTTTCCAACACCTGATGGTGCCATCTTCTCCATCAGATATAGAAGGCCGGGGCCAGCAGCCCCCGCAACGGTGCCGTGAACATAATCGGACGGGCGAGCGTAGCCGATTACACGGCGGAAGTGCCTGTGTCGTGGTTATTCAGGTCAGAATTGCGCATCTCGAGATGGGACTATGTCGTGGGAAACGTTGTTGGACAGTGTCCGCAGAGAGAAGAAGCGTACGGGTCATTGTCGATAAGCTAGATAAGGTAGGGATGCGATGTCAGCAAACTGAACGTTGTTTTGGAAGGTTTGCTGCGATCCAGACGATGGAATGCGTAACGCATCGTCAAGATATGGTGATGCAATTGGCGAAACCCACTGGATAATTGGTATTGAGTGTCTTGCTGATCGTGTACGTCGGGGATGAAGTGCTGGACATTGTGACGGCGGCCGACGATTGCGTCGTCGATGGGGTAGCACGAACGTTATGGAGCAGCTCACGACTCAGGTCCCGTCGTCGTCGATGGAGTCGTTCAGCGGGATGCCCACAGTGAGGGCTGGAGCTCGTAGGTACCGTAAACCGTATTGATGCCTGAGGCGGCAAAGGTCCGTCGTTCCCCGCCGTTAGTGGTAAGGAGCGAAAGCTGAGCTGAGCCACACGCGCCCGGGACCCCCTGCAACGGCGCCACAGACTAGGTACATACGGAAGTGCTGCCAAGCCGCAACCACTTACACTTGCAGTTGCTTGACGCGCCATGGAAGCTGCGAAAACGCGTCTCATGTCTCCCACCACTTTGATCGATAATTTTCAACATCGCCATCACTTTGGGACCCTTTAGCGAACGCAGATATACGAACTCACTATGCCAGCTCAATATAACGACAACAACACCAGCGCTTTCGTCAACGAATTCCTTGCGGGCTGGGATGATGACGACCCCTTCCGTTCCCCAAGCCCAGAGACGGCCAGAACAAACAAAACAAATAACAAGAAGCGCAAAGAGCCAGATACCCTTGGTATTGACAAAGAAATCGATGTCACCAAAAAGGCCAGGGTTCCGCGTGTGAAGCTGGATGATGCCAGACTATTATCCGACAAGGGCATTCCAAAGTTGCGAAAGACCTCATCGAAGTTGAAGTTGAAAGGAAAAGGCCATGAAGTAAGACAGTCACACTTCTGTTGTGGTCAATTGGCTAATATAACCCGTCTTAGTTTTCAGATGCCGCTCGTCTACTCTCCTTCTACCAGGAATGGCTCGACGACCTCTTCCCGAAAGCTACTTTCGTAGACGCCCTTGCTATGTGTGAAAAGGCCGGGCACAAAACTACCCTACGCAATGCACGACTAAAGTGGATCGCCGAAGGGAAGCCCAGGTCAACAGCAGTTGAAGAGGAAGAGGATGGAGACCGCGAAGGACAGCCATCTGCTCCTACAGAACCCACCAGGATGGCATCCATATTCGAGAAGGCGACAGGGGCTAGATCAAAGACACCAACAATCGATGATAATTCACTCGGAGATGACGACATTTACAATGCAACACCGAGACGAAATCAACCAACAGCGGCACCTGGAGACATACCCGATGATGACGAGTTGGACGCACTTATGGCCGAAGCAGAGTCTGGGGCCGCTCCAGGGGCTAGCAAAGCAACAAACAATGGGGCTGCTTCCGACAGTATATTTGGCGGCGGGGCTATCAACAGGCGCCCACGGCCATCCGAAGTTCCAGATGACGATGACCTGGATGCATTGATGGCGGAAGCTGAGTCATATCGGCCGTCCACCACAAACCGCGGCAGCATCTTTGGAAACGGTAGCGCTTTTGGAGGTGGTAAAGATAAGCCAGCCATGGCCGCACCACCACAAGAGGATGATGACGGCCTAGATGCCCTGATGGCCGAAGCAGAGATGCACGCGTCTCTCGCTACAAAAACGACGGGAAAAGAGTCCACCAGTAGGGAACAAACCAGTGAGCAGGATGGAGGCAAAGATGCACAAAATGATGATGAGGATGATCTGGATGCCTGGATGGCTGAAGCTGAAGCGTACACCAAGACTGCGAGCAATCAGGTTGCTCAACCCAAGGATACGGATGATGACTGGGAAGCAGAGGCTGCGATGGCCGAAATGCATGGGTTCTGAAGAGAACCTAAAGCAGCCCTATCCTGCAAGGCCCAACAACGGACCGTCGCAATAGTCCTGGGATCGTATCTAACGACGTGATGATAACGATGCGCAGTAGTATACAACTATTGGCTGAATAGGCTCTTCATGGATGGCTCGGCGGGCAAACTTAACCCTAACCCGCGTAATGAAACAATGTGTAAACATAACCCCTGGGGTTTCTGAAAACCAGATCAGGGCAGTTGCAGGTTTGGCGTCAGCGTAGTACACTAGCTAGCTAGATTCCCTTGGTTTTAACCCCACAATATGATTGTGGTGGGGCGAGTTAGCGACAGAGCATCTATAGCATCCGTCATCATCCATCCTTCTGTTCGTCCCCCACTTCAACACAACATCCCAAGTGCCAGTGTGATTCGGGATACAAACGGCACATCAGGTGCCATCATTAGTGCCTTCCAACCCTAGCCGTTTAGTCTTTGCCACGGATATTTGAACACTCGCATCTGGCACACGCGTACAGCCCAAGATGGCGTACGACCTCAACGAAGCCATGGCGAAGCTGCATTTCGACGACGATGCCGAGAATGGCGATGGCACTCCCTCCTTTGATCCCATCGACGACATCCTCTTCGAACGGATCCCACCGAGCGAGCTGCGACACGGCGAAGCTACCGACCCCGAAGCGCATCGCGTCAAACTTGAGAAGAAGTACTTGACGCCATCCACGACTTTCTCGACAGAATGGCTGAACCGCCTCCAGCAACGCTGGGACACACCCGTCGACCACTCCCTGCTCTTCCGCATCGCTCCCACACAAACACGTACTGTCACTCGCTTCCAGCGTCATGGCCTCGAGGGTCGCGTTACCGGATATCGCAACGTCACCGTGCCAGCCTCGCATGCCACTGCCAAGACGAGTACATCCATGATGCGAAAGCCAGCCAGCAAGTCCGAGTTTGTGCGCGGTGGGGCTGGCTTCTTTCCCTTCGCCCCAGGCGGTCTAGACGGTATCGAGTCTGCTTCCGCATTAGAGGATCAATTAAGAAAGGACGCCGCATCAGACGAAGGAGAGAGCAAAAAGAAGCTGGAAAGGGTCATCACTCTCGCTGAGGGTGGTTTTCTTGAAGTTGCACCAGGATTGTCGCGCGGTATCGACATGAGCAAGAGAAAGAAGACAGCAGATGCGGAGAGCGAAAAACAGGCCAAGGAAGTAGAAGATGTTCTTGGTCAAGAGCCCGAGGACGCTCCCGACGGCGAGGGCGAGAGGGACGAGGTCAACGGTGTCAAGAGGGAAGAGAGTGAAGATAGCCAAGACGACTTGGAAGATATCGACGCCATATTGCCTGTCGAATTTCCTGCCCTCGAACCTCGTGGCACATTGACCGCGTCCAGCGCTAGAAAAGCTGGTCGGGAGTGGGCACACATGGTCGACATTAGGCGGGAGATACCCAACTTTAGGGAGTTGGTACCCGACATGGCAAGGGAGTGGCCTTTCGAGCTGGATACGTTCCAGAAGGAGGCCGTTTATCACCTTGAAAATGGCGATTCGGTATTCGTTGCGGCACACACATCAGCCGGAAAGACGGTGGTCGCCGAGTACGCTATCGCACTGGCTGCTAAGCACATGACCAAAGCTATCTACACATCCCCTATCAAGGCGCTGAGTAACCAAAAGTTCAGAGACTTCAGGCAGACCTTTGACGAGGTTGGTATTTTGACCGGCGATGTGCAGATCAACCCCGAAGCCAGTTGCCTAATCATGACGACGGAAATTCTTCGGAGTATGCTCTACCGCGGAGCGGATCTCATTCGCGATGTAGAGTTTGTCATCTTCGACGAGGTACACTATGTAAACGACTACGAACGTGGAGTAGTCTGGGAAGAGGTTATCATCATGCTGCCTGAGCACGTTTCGCTCATCTTGCTGTCTGCGACGGTCCCCAATACTTACGAGTTCGCGTCTTGGGTGGGTCGGACGAAGCAAAAGGATATCTACGTCATCTCGACGCCCAAGAGACCTGTTCCCTTGGAACACTACCTTTGGGCTGGCAAAAAGATCCACAAGATTGTAGACTCGGAGAAGAAGTTCATCGAGACCGGCTGGAAGGAAGCCAATCTTGCTATACAAGGCAAGGACAAGCCGCCCAAGGCCATCGAGGCCTCAACAGGACCAGCGCGGGGCGGTGGTAACCAAAGAGGTCGTGGGGGTGCGCAAAGGGGTGCGAACCAACCACGAGGAGGTGCGAGAGGAGGTGGCCAGCAACGTGGAAGGGGTGGCCCACCGCGTGCAAGCCACACTCCCGGACATATGGGCCGGACAGGGCGGCCAGGAGGCTTTACGTCTGCTGCTCAGGACAAGAACCTGTGGGTCCATCTTGTGCAGTTCTTGAAGAAGGATAATTTGCTACCGGCTTGCATCTTCGTCTTCTCCAAGAAGAGATGTGAAGAGAACGCCGATGCACTCAGCAACCAAGACTTTTGTACTGCGCAGGAGAAGAGCCACATTCATATGATCATTGAAAGGTCGATTGCTCGGTTGAAGCCCGAAGACCGAGTGTTGCCGCAGATCATTCGGCTGCGCGAGCTTCTGTCAAGAGGTATTGCTGTTCATCACGGTGGCTTGCTACCCATTGTGAAGGAGATGGTTGAGATCTTGTTTGCGGAGACTCTGGTCAAGGTTCTCTTTGCCACCGAGACCTTTGCAATGGGCTTGAACCTGCCGACCAGGACGGTCGTCTTTTCTGGCTATAGAAAGCATGATGGTCACCAGTTCCGCAACCTCCTGCCTGGCGAGTACACTCAGATGGCTGGTCGCGCTGGAAGACGTGGTCTCGATACAGTCGGCTCTGTCATCATTGTACCGCCTGGCGGAGACGAGGCCCCGCCGGTTACCGATCTCAGGCAGATGATCCTTGGCGAGCCGAGCAAGCTTCGTTCGCAGTTCCGTTTGACTTACAACATGATTCTCAATCTTCTCCGGGTTGAAGCACTAAAGATAGAGGAGATGATTAAGCGTTCCTTCTCAGAGCATGCTACTCAGCAACTTCTTCCGGAGCATGAAAAGGCAGTCAAGCTTTCCGAGGCTGATCTGGCCAAAATCAAGAGGGACTCGTGCCCTATCTGCGACGTTCACATGGATGAGTGCCATCAAGCAGGAGAGGATTTCAAGGTAGCCACAGAGGAGCTTTATCGCGCTCTACTGGCCATTCCGGTCGGGCGTAAGCTGTTCACACCTGGTCGACTTATCGTTTATATGAAGGAGGGCGTCAGGACCCCCGGAATCCTGCTTGCCGAAGGACCAAGCAAGGCGGGCACCGCTGCTAACCCGACACTGCATGTTCTTGAGATCAAGACCGGCAGGGACCTTCGCAACGATACCGATCTCCTGCCATTCACCCCGACTCTGGCCAAATGGTTCACTCCCTTGCCGGCACACAAGAAAAACATCTACACCAAGACCGTTCACATCCCTCTCAGCGACGTCGTTTGTCTCACTAAGCATATCACCAAGAACATTGTTCCCGAACTTTTTGAAGGTGGCGATGGTTACACCAAAGCGAAGGAAGCACTCCACCAGATTTGTAAATCCTGGTCCGCGCCCATCTGGGACGAGATGGACCTCAGCCGCATCAAATCCCTCTCCATCCACGAGATCATCACGCGCCGGCGCGACGCCGAAGTCAAGTGCACAAAGTCCCCCGCCGTCGACTGCGATCTCTTCCTCAAGCACTACGCCATGTGCCACGACCAGTGGCTGATCAAGACCAAGATCGACGAGCTGCGCCAGTCTCTCTCCAACCAAAACCTACAGCTCCTCCCGGACTACGAGCAGCGCATCCAAGTCCTCAAGGACCTCTCCTTCATCGACGACGCCAGCCGCATTCAGCTCAAGGGCAAAGTCGCCTGCGAGATCCACTCGGGCGACGAGCTCGTTCTCACAGAGTTAATCCTCGAAAACGTCCTCGCCGATTACGAGCCCGCTGAGATCGCCGCTTTGCTCTCCGCCTTTGTCTTCCAGGAGAAGACAGACATGGTCCCCAACTTGACGTCCAATCTCGAGCGCGGGCAAAAGACGATCATCGAGCTGTCTGAAAAAGTCAACGCCGTGCAGACGCTGCACCAGGTGATCCTGTCGTCGGACGAAGGGTCCGATTTCGCAAGCAAGCCCCGGTTCGGGCTGATGGAGGTCGTGTACGAGTGGGCCAGAGGCATGAGCTTCAAGAATATCACGAATCTGACGGACGTGCTGGAGGGCACCATTGTCAGGACCATTTCGCGTCTGGATGAGACGTGTAGGGAGGTGAAGAATGCGGCGAGAATCATTGGTGATCCGGAGCTGTATCAGAAGATGGCGACGACACAGGAGTTGATCAAGAGGGATATCACGGCTGTGGCTAGTTTGTACATGTGATTTGATGAGTTATGTATGTATGTCTGTATGTAGGGGTTTGTTTAATTTGGGTGGTTAGTTGATTGGTTGGTAACTCTTGAAAAGCGATTGCGTGCGCGCGTATGGATGGCATCACGAGCATTTTGTATCTGCTTTTGTGTAATTTCCGGGCTAGTTCGAGCGTCAATTATCATCATGATGGTATGGGGTATTTGTTCACTTCGCTTGTCTGAATTTTGCTGTATGTGTTGCCTGTTATATATTGCGGATATCACTCAGTGTTCGTGGAATGCAAAAAGTCTTAATAGACCATAGCCAACACAGAGAGCGATGATTTTGCACAGGGAAACATTCTGACCTTAAAACCAACGTGGGATGAACACGACAGCTCGTCTTGACGCACTGTGATAGTCTCTGTGCCGACATGCGTGAGGCTGTAGACGCCAAAGCCGCTGTGTCGATAGTCAGGAGGGCGAAAAAGGGGTTCGGCGGGGTTTGCCACTCTCTTTCCCGCTCCTATCCAGGAGTCAGTCATCAACACCAACTTACCGTCTGTTCATCATACCACTCTCCAGCAAATTGCTGTTTACGTTCATCAAGGCATTTCCAAAAGACTGACTGTAGCAATTGCATTTCCGCGAGAATCACAAGTTGGGAACGGGATAAGATCATGATATGAAACAGAGTGGAACGTTCGTGTTCAATTTGTTTCGATGAAGCCACTGGTAACCACTCGCTAACACGCATAGAACGCCCACAGCCTAAGCCCCGTAAACCCAATATTGGCCCCTTCTGGGTTTTGCCAAATGCCCCGGGTAATAGTAGTAAAGATATACGTCATACAAGATTGTGTTTTCAAAAAAGAAAAAGAAGAAAAAGGAAAAGTCATCAAGACATCCTCCGACGCTCTGTGTCGAGGTGAGTTTTGAGGAAGCCACAAGGCCCAGCCTTCAGCTTCCGTTTTGGTATTACCTTCAACTTGTATTGTTGTTGAAGTTTGTTATTATCAGTCGTGGTTGGTGTGTGTATCGTCAATGACGGGACACCGGTTGACCCACAGAGTTTCGAGGAGGAGCCCCTGAGTTCTGCGCGGACTCTCATCTTCCGCTCTTCCACCCTCAGAACCCACATCAAGGTGGGTAGAACTTCCTTCGATGGCAACATGGCACCCTTGGGCCAGAATGCCAGCAATCCAGTACGTGGCTGCGCTCGCTGCTCCTTTCCGTTAGCTGTCGCCGCCGCCGAACCGTCCTCTCCCAAAACCTGTGGCACCGTGCGCCCTTCAGATACAACCCACCGCAATACCTCCATCGTCGCATCCATTAAGGGACGCGCCAGTATGGGGCTGCTGGTAAGGATCTTCCGAAGCGTTCGGATACGTAAGGTTGTGGACTGACGCGTTCGTGGTTGCGCAGAATCCGGATTGTTGCTGCGGCTGCTGCTCGTTGCTGTTTGCGGCATTTGAGACGTCGGGGTTGATGAATTCGTCGAAGAAGTTCTCGGGGTTTGCCGGGAAGTGGAGGGTTTCGGTGTCGTCACCAGCCATACTATACTCATCAAAATTGCTGGGGCTGGGGGAAGAGAAAAATTCCGTTTCATAGATGTAGCGATCAGCATCAAAGGTCTTTGAGAGAACGAGATCATCCATGAAATTGCCGAGGCCGAGAGGAGCAGCAGAGAGAGAGGATCCAGCGACGGGGGCTGAGACTGCTGGGACACTGCCAGGCACTTGGAGCGTGGCACTTCCGCCGACCGACACTGCAGGTCATCACACAACACCACAGCAGGATGTTGTGTCGCATCGGGGGAAGTGTCCACAGTCGCAGTGGAGGTAATATCCGCAACAGGTTGGGCAGCCGTCGATTGCTCCTTCTCGACATCCTCCTCCTCCATCTCAGGGATAGGGTTCAATACGGGAGAAAGAGAAGCTGGGTTGACGGTCTCTTCGGTCTTGATGGTAGGGAACAGTTGCTCGAGAGAGGAGTCGTGCTTTGACAAGTTGTGGCCATCTTGTGAGCTGAAGAGCTCTTGTGAGAAGGTGACTGGGGTAGGGTTGAGACCATCGAAGGATGCCGGTCGTGTGGCAATCGTAGGAGCAACACCATTTTCACGGAGTGCCTGGAGGAGAGTCTGGTTGATCTGTTGAGCTTGCATGAGGAGGGTCTCAAGCTCCTTGTTGCGTCGTTCCAAACCCTCGACTTCGAGTCTCTTGCGCTCTCGTGAGGACTGGGCGGCTCTGCGGTTGCGGAGAACGCGTTCGACGCGACGTTGTTCCTTCTCGTCCTCGGTCTTGGCACGTTTCCTGTTGAGAGGTTAGCAAAGGAGCAGACAAGGGTTTGAAGGTGTTAGTAATGTGTAACGTACCTTGGTGGGAGGTTAGTCTTGGGCTCTGGCAGGACTTGACCCCACGACTTCCTCTTCTTGACAGGCTTCTTCTCAGTCTCTGGCGCCGGTGTCGAAGCGGGCGTCGAGCGTGGCGGGATCTGAGGAACTGTGAGAGTAGCAAGAGCCGTGAGGTCGACGTCGTCTGCCAAGGAAACCGGTGACATGACGTCGAGCGATGGGGTTGCTGATGTCGTGCGGTCAGAGCCGAAGACTTCGGGAAAGATCTCGCCAGGAGTGGCGAGGAGAGACTCGGCTGGGTTCTCGAATTTGAGGTTGGCCGGCGAGGGAGAGTGGGCAGCCCAGGAATCCATGATGGGTATCGGCGTCCACGGTAGGAGGACTTGATGTTTGCTGATAGAAAGCTGTGGCAGTCACTGGTGTTGGCGGTGGTAAAAGAATGATGTTGACTGCAAACAATGAACTAGTGCGTATATGTTCGCTGACAGTAAAGAGGTGCCTGCCTAATTCCCCAATACTCGAAACGTCAGAGAATGGAGTATTTGTTAAGCTTAATGCATCGCGGGTAAGGTTGACTCCATCCACGCGTAAGTCAGTACACTAGGCACCAGGATAGTCCAAGACGCCAAAGGGGGAGCCTAGCGGGAAGAGGTCGAGGATGGAAGCTGGTTGGTTGTGTGGTGAAAAGGACAGATCTCTTGTTTGAACAAACTGGGGGGGAACGATGTCGAGTCTGGGTGAGGGGTGGGAGGCCAGGCTGCTTTTATCTTCTGGACACGGTTTCCAGAAAGGGGGCTCATGCCTCAGGCAGCACGGACCTTATTCGTGTCTATTCGTCCAAAGCAGCACGCAACTGGCACCCTTCCTTCGTCTGATTGGCCACACCGCCGCCCAGATTGACGAAACATTGCGGCGCCCCTCTTGGCCCTCGCATCGAGGCTCCAGATGCCAAAACAGGGAATCGCCGAGAAGCACGCTAGTGGGGCGGCTCATGCCAGTCAGTGCTGGCAATGCGCAGCCAGGGGTAAGAAGACGCAAGCGCAGGGCCGAAGTTCCATCCTCGAGCCCCTGGGCTCCTCAAACCCCTCTGAAGCTCGAACCTTAGCGTCGGCCCTTGGGATTTCTCTTTGACACAAGCGCCCCTCCGGTCCTGCTGTTGATCATGCCCGGGGGACCTCATTGTTGGAAGACGCGGAATCGCCGGGCGGGCGGGGACCGACATCGTAAGGAGCTCGATTTGTCCCTCTCACTTGAAGCATCCGACGGTGGGTGCGCTGAGGTGAGATACGGTAGAGCTATGTTCGCACTTCGCATCATCTTCGTACAACTAAAGGCCCGCAGAAGGGACAAGCCACGATGGAGACAGCTGCAAGAGCGGACCCGGCGATAGGCACCTTTTTGACGAACCGCTGTTACTCATCACCAGATATGTACCGAACATCATCAGTTTGACAGTCACACCGACAAAACTTGCATGCGTGTCATTGCTGGGCGTTGATAGGAACCACCTAGCAATGCATGAAATAGTGCAGATTCGGTAAACAGCTGTCGCCATCTGATCGCCCGACCATCTTTTTCAATACTTGGGCATTGCGGCAAGCATCAAAAGCCCACGATATTTTTTGTCGACAACGCCGCAGCTTCCGTGAAGCTCCAAACCTCATCGCGGGCAATATCTCCCAAAGCTGCCATATCGCTGCAGGCCGCAAATTAGAGTGTGGGTTCCCAAGGTTAGCCGTGACGCGTCTTGATGAGACTATTCCCGCCCGTCCTTTGTTTCCCTCGGACCACTCAACATCAGCGCCGAGCTTCTGGCAGCCGGGACGTCTCTTTGAAACGAATGGAAACCATCCATCGGTTCTAGATGGACAGCTCAAAGACTGGGACGCACCATTAGCCGGCGCGCGGCCCCTCCTGTCACAGAGATGGCACCTTGATTACCCCGGATGGAAGTCCAGTGAAACAAAGTAACGGATGGTGGCTTCCGAAATGCGGAGTACACATGCACATGAACTCGTAACCCCTTTCTCCTTTTTGTTCAATACGACCGCGAACGCGCTCATTTCATTGATCAATTGCCGCACGGTTTAAGAAACCCACAACAAACACAAACCAACCAATCTCACCGAGCCGGGCACGGCCATCACCCGATGCCGCTTGCAGTCCACGGCGACCGGCCAACCCCTCACCCACCAAGTCGTTCGGAGGCAGCTCAAACCGGACCCGGCGACCGAACCGAAAACCAAGGATGTTATTTGCGGTGAGTTTGCGGAGTCGTCTTACGTACACGAACGAAACCACCTTGATGGCATCCGGGCCCACGCTGCAGGAGATTATGGAGTCAAGACCCGTCGCCGGAGTGGAGCCGTCAGTGACAAAAGGCGGGGAGAGCTCGAGTGGATCGGCCTCCTTCAATTCAATGAATCAAAGAGGGGAAGCTAAATGAAAACAGCATATGGTTCCATCGCCACAAAGCGGGTTTTCGACGATAGTAGCAAGATTGAAGAGGCACAGCTCATTGTGGCTGTTCTCCGCTTCTTCTTGGAGTGAGCTGAATGAACTTGCTCAGGAGAGTCTCAGCTTCGTGTTTGTCAAGTTCATCATTTTCGCACAAGAAACTCCGAAACTTCAGCCCTCTGTACTTTTCCCTATCTCTGCTCAAGTCCCCTCACCACCATGCCTTATCAATTGCCCCACTAAGAGGTCTGGCCGTTTGGGTAAACAGAGGGCAAGTCGGAATGCTCCGCGCGCCCGCAAATCCACCATGGTGGTACGCTACACTATCCAGGGGCAAGTGTCTCGATAACCTTCCTTCTACCGACTGGCCGAGGACTGCTGTTGAGTGTCCGTCAGCTCGTGCTCTACTAGCGTGCAGTCGGCAATCTTGAACCCCGTTGTTTGACAATTCGAATTAGCATCGTGGATTCACGAGCCGCAGGTTGTATCATCGAAATCTCCGATTACTCCGTGGTACCCGTAGCTGTGAGCCTGCAGTGCCTACATGTGAGGCATCCACTTGTAGGACCATTGTGAATTGTTTTCCACCGGGCATAAGAGCGGCCTCATCGAGCATTACACAAAACCAGTTATGTGGATGTCAGATGTGCAGATATCGATGGGCTTACACGCCGTGCTTCAGCTTACTGTGGCACTGAAAAAGCCCGGGAAATCGGACTTGGGTTCTGCAAGAAATTCCCCTTAGCTCGGCAGCTCCGATATGCACATACCTGATACTTCAGGTAGGTAGAGTCAACGCAACAGACTGTACTTGGTGTACGATTCTTTTGGCGATTTCCAACTTCGAGGAAAGCACGTTGCGCTAACGGCTTGGACACGCCATAAATGTGGCCCAGAGATGAAACTTGCCACAGACCTCAAATTCCGATTTCCACGGTTTATATAGTATCTCCGTGGTCACATACATAGTAAAGGAAGTCATCCGGACTGAAGTGCTTGTAAATTGCCGATCAAGTCTCCCATCAATGAAAGACGCTAGTAGATCCTTGGATGGGAGGGTGGTGGGAGCGGTTAAAGTCTCCGAAAAGTCCAGCCTCTAGAATGCTTTAACTGCCGATCTCCCCCCGCGAAAGGAAGTCAATAAAGTTGAACCCTTATTTAGATTCATTTTTGGCATATCCGAACGTGGCTTGCTCCGTGCTGATCGGGCGGTGATCCGATCCGGATCTGCCAGCCATTCAGAAGCAGTATGGATATCTCGAGTTCGAAATCAAAGGGTTGAAATGGGTGAGGAGGACCGAGAAAAGAACGCCAAGACCTCGCGCTTATTTTTTTTTTTTTTTTCGGCTTTTTTTTTTTTTTTTTTTTCTCTCTTCCCTCTTTCTTTGTTTCCCTGGGCTCGGTGCCTTGTCGTACGGCAATCCGATCCAGATTCAACCCTTTCGGCGTCCCTTTCATTCGTTCGTTCTATTGGTTTTTCTCCCTCCTCCCTCAGTGGTTTGTTTTGGTTTATGATCGCTCAAGAATGGATTGGCGTAGCCTGGGAACAGTCGATGACCCCTCATTTCCTTATGGTCCGTTTTCCAAGTTCGCGATCGCACAATCTGGGGGAGAGGAGTGATATTTCGCCTTTGTCATTGAACAGAGAGTTTTTGCTCGATTACTTCATTAGTTACCCATGCAAGTAGCTTCGCTATGGGTTCTTCCTCTATTCGTCCATTTGGTTTCTCTCGTCTTTTCATCTTCCTCTTAGTTGACATGGCGAACGGTTAGCCCCAAATAACAGGTGATGGGTTGTAGGTCTGTTCTCGGCGCACGTACCGCGGTTCTTGTATTCAGTGTTGGAGACGAGTATAGGACGACTCAAGCTCAAGTGCTGTTCGTAAATGACATGGAGGAGAAAAGTACGTGACGAGCCATGTAACTTATTTCCGAGAATGGTGATGATATTGTTTTCTTCTTCCGAGTTAGCAAATGTACAAGTCTATGCCTCCGTTCTTAAGACAGATGCGGTAGGCCTGGCGGATTTATTCGGCAGAGTACATGTGCGAAAGAAAGCGTCCTGGCGTGGAATGGCCGTCGGAATTGCAACACTGCATTTGACGAGACATCCCAGTCTTGACGGTAATTGTGGAGTTCAAAGTCTGACGGCGGCGATGCTTCCGCGGACCAAATTTCAACGTCTCGGTGCATCTTACGCTCATCCCGTCTCTCCACTGGGAATTTCAAATGGAGGTGAGAAATACCATCCCCGATGCAGTTAAGCAAAGGTGGATGAAGATGGACTGCCAGTGTGGATGGCGTGGCGTTCGCTTGCACTCTGATACAGTGCAAGGTGTGACGAGACGACGTCGGAACCAACCATTGCTTGGCTCTGGGCTTTTTGACCATTCAGAAGGCTCGGTATATCTCGCGATGAAAGAAGGAAAGAGAGAGCAAGAGTGGTGTTCAGCTCCCCCGCAGAAAATTCCATTGTTCGACGGAACACACGCGTGCAGAGCCTCCCGCGACTTGGGTTTGGACCACGACCTCATCTCCCTGTGTCTCCATCTGTCATCTCGCTACTAGCCTTTTTCCACATCTTTTCTCGTCATTGCTTGCCTCCCACATGGCACTTACTTGATGGAGCCACCTTCTTGACTTCCATGTTGTTGAATTCTGCTATTCATATTCGCTGGTGGATAGGACACGCTTTCGGCTTTCCCACTTTGTGACCCCCAATCTCACACCATTATTCTTACTAAACTTAGCATCTTTCCACTTTTAACGCCATCTCCTCTCCAGCTTTACCCACGACTAATCCACGAAACCCTCCACTTCCTGTGGAGTTCATAACGGGGATCAACTGACGACGCGTGCTAGGGGAAGACTAATGGAAAAGGATATATGGGCGGCCATCCCTTGCCTCTGGTTTTGTTCCATTGTTCTTTAGTGACTTCCACACTCCTTCTCGAACATATCATGACCCCCATTCTATGGAGCCATGTCAGAAGCCAGTGCAGCTAACCGAACCCAGATCAACCTACACTACCTTCCTCCAGGCTTGTCAGCGTCACCTTCGTTACATATAATACAGATGTTTGGGTCATACTCTATAGTCCCAAGCGGCCTCCTACATCAGTGCATCGGGCTCCCGAGGTGGACACATATTCGGCCTAGCCCAGCCACCGCTTCGTTCTCCGATGTCTCACGGGCGATCGCAGGTTTCGGTGCATGCTTGGAATCTCGGCATTCCGGTTCCGACCACCTAATCAACATCACATCCAAGGATCTGATCTGATACCACGACGTTGTTCCGGTTCCCGTTCCGCATCTGACGAGCATTTACACTTCCAAAACTGTCACATCATCACGCCAACACGCACTAGTCCTGTGATCCCGCTCAAGCAAGAGAATCCAACATGCTATGGTCGATTTGCATCGAATGCCTCTTCTAGGTATTGCAGCGCCTTCTAAAAGGATGATGACATTTTCTTCTGTTGCTGTCTTCCCAACAAAATGCGCTTTCCGATCCCATATGCACCGTTTTAAAAACCAGCCATGTGTATGCGTTTCTATAACCCTTCCGGCCCAACTCCAGAAAAACCCCTCAACACACCAAGAGAAGCTCCCCCCATACTCCCTGATCTTGAAATTGTTTCTTTGTGTTTTTTACCGATCTGGAACTCCTTAAAGGACAGGATCCCAGGTACCCCACTGGCCCTTGACGACACCCTCGACATCGCTCGTCACCCAGCCGCCATAGAAGTCACCGGGCTGGGGCTGGGCGCGCTCGCCGTCCACATAGCACTCCCAAGGAGAGGCGTAGAAGGCAAGGTAGCCCTTGATGGCCTCGTAGCCCTTTGCGGGCTCGTTGTAGGCCCAAATTCTGTTGGAAATTGTCTCGGCGGCCGAAATGGGACTCATGATGGAGTAGTATGTGGCGGTTCCCTTCCACTCGCAGAAAGTCGATCTGGGAGTGGTCGCGAGCGGAAGGCGCACGAGCGAGGGGGGAATGTAGTAAGCTGCAGACGGGGGGAGGCATGAGAGTTAGTGGACGACTTCACAAAGCATTCACAGCAGCGTCGGGACGAGCTGAGGTGGCTCCAGTTTGAGCGACAGAACTTCCACCTCCAAATAAAGAAAGGGTGAAGGGTGAACCGCACAACACGTCGGCAGCCTGAACCTGGCGTGTTGGGTTGTGCGGTGGATGTCGGGACGGGGTGTAACGCTGGAGGACCCCGACGTAGGAATGAGGACTGCGGGAAGAATGGGGTGGACTAACTAGGTGGATGATGGGTCTCCAAAACCCAGTACGCCTCACCAGGAGGGACGTCGGCGATGAGCTGACCGTGCCACTTGATCTGAATGTGACGGGGCGCCCTCTCGACCAGCGGGGGGCGCGGGAAGGTCTGCACGTTGAGCTTGCGAATCGACATGATGTTGGGTCGTGTTCCGAGCCGAGCTGTGGTGGAGTGTGGTTCCTAGCTGAGTGGGAGACCCCAAGAGAAAAGGAAAATGGATACAAGTCTAGAGTCTAAGAGATGTTGTTGAAAAAAGGAAATTGCCCAAGACAAAGAAGATAAAATGGAGAAGAGGAGCGAGTCAAGCCGGAAAGATTGGAATCCGTGGTCTATGGTTTCTGCTCTAAGTTTTGTCCAGAAAAACGAAAAACCCTTCACTCATATGCTCGGGGGGCGCGCGAGCCACGAACAGAGCCCGCAGGAGCCACTGGGGGTCGCTGATAATAAAAAAAAAGAGTTATCGGAAAAGACCTCTAGGCTTGTAGCCAGTCTGAGCCAGCGAGCGCTCATTTTCCTTCCGTCGGCAGTCCGTTGCGAATTGGCGGGACTTTGCTGCCCGTGCACAATAGGCTAGAGATACTGTGTGGCTTGATGCCGGTCTTCATTCGGACTTCACTTGCCCTGTCATCCGGGCCCTTGCCGTCTGGTTCAGTTGCTGGCCAGTATTCTGGCTTCCTCCCCCCAAAAAAAATCGCGAGGCCGAGCCACCTCATTTAGGTGGCTCTCCCCTGTTCGCTCCTATTCTGGCCTAGAGGTAAAGGGCAAAAAAACGCTCCCGTTCTCCCCACCGCAACTGCCAACCGTCAAAAGATCGAATCGCCGGTTCCGTTCAGCGAACGACACCAATGCGGGTCGACAGTGCAGACCGCCCAGCAACGAACGAGGCTCGCTGTTTACCGCTCAATTGGCCAGCGAATGTCACACACGGTGCCAAGCGGGACACTCTAAAAATGCGGCGCACTGGCAGTTTGGCACACACACTTAGGGGGCTCGAGAGGAGGCACCAGCCACAGGACTGCGTCATAGCGTGGAATCCGTGGAAAGCGCGGGCAGGGCGGGGTGGCAATGCAGAGGCCCCACATGCTACTTCAGCGTCTCATCCGGGCCAATCACGTGTCCGTAGTTCGGGCGACTGCCTCGCGCTGACAGGCCGCCGACCAACGGACGTCCCGGATCTTCCCAACCTGAAGGGCTTCCCGTCATTCTGAACCCTGTCACGCTCGCCAGGCTCCAGTTTCCCGTCGGGTGCTCCATTCTGTACGTCGCCGTCCAGCACGCAACAGCACAGTAGGCACTACCTACAGGCTAGCAGTGACTTACGTAGCACTTAAGGTAACTTTTAGTACCTAGCAGCATTCAACACTTGCGGACATCCAAGATATCGATCAGGTACCTCTATTCCATTGTTGACACACCATCCATCACCTACCTACTCGACCCGATAGTATTCCAGTCGCCGGCCATCGTCCGTCACGACAACCGTACCCGCGATATTCTAAGATCTGGATCCTGCTCCCCAGAGCCCAAGCCCACCGCTTGACTTCATTCGCTGTCCCCGCCGAGTCCTACGTAGTCACCGACCGTCGCCCCGACCCTAAACCCCCCACCTCCCTCCATTAGTCCATCGCCGACAGACCATCTCACCGCGGAATCAAGATGGCGAACCGACAGCTTGCAAGAGACATGCAAGTTGAGTTTCAAGCCCGCGTATGTGTTTCGCCATTGGGCCTTGGGTTGTTCCTTGCGTCGGTGGTCCATCCCTTGCAGCGTCGCCTACCCTGCTTGCGATCTCCCATAGATGGCATGGAACAATCACGGAACAACATGAGAAAACATCGATTAGTTGCTAATGACCATCACGGATTGGCAGTTCAATGCCAAGCAAGCACGACGTGAAGCCCAGAAGGCTGCCAAACAAGACAATGAGTTGAAGAAGCAGATCCAGAATGTTTGTCACCCCGTTCCGTTCCTTCTTTACCCTCTGGTCATGTCTGTTGGCCGGTGTCCCGCAATATCTTCCTGGCCTGGCAATGCTCCTCTTACCTAGATGGAAGCGCATTCATACTCTGTCTACCACTATCAATACTGGGCATCATGGTCTTTCAAATGACATGACTCCCGTCTATCATTACGAGCGCCCCCATGCCATCGTGTAACCGCATTTAGAGGAACGCCCAAACTAACAAGCCATGGTTGACATTTTCTAGCTTCTCAAAAAGGGCGAAACCGCGCAAGCCGCCCAGAAAGCCCGCATGCTGCTTGCCAAACAAGCCATCGCTCAACAGATGGACCAAGCCGCTGATATGGCCGAGCTCAGCGTCGCCCAGATACAGGCTAACAACGCCATGAACCGCATGACGTTCATGATGGCCCAGTCATCCAAGACCATGTCACGGGCCCAGCGCAGCGTGAACCCCGAGAAGACGCTCCTAACGCTGGAGCAGTACAAGCAGCAGAACGAGGAGTATGCCATGAGCAACGGCATCTACACGGACGCCATGACGCAGAGCACAAGTGTGCAGGTGAGCGACGATGCCGTGCACGAACTGCTCGGCAAGCTCGCAGACGACGCCGGACTGGAGCTGGGGCAGGAACTGAATAAAGCCAGCGCCAGCAAGGTTGATCCAAACGCTGCTGCCCAGCAGGCGGTGAGCCAAACGGCCGAGCCAACTCCGGAAGAGGAAGATGCCCTGCAACAGCGTTTGCGGGCTTTGCGGGCTTAAGCCGGAATCATGTGCTGGAACTCTCGGGCCGTTTTCTTTTTTAACTTTTGCGGGAGAAGAACGAGCGAAGAAAACGTAGAAGAACTGGAGAGGTTGGATGAATCGGGAGAGGCGGTTTAGGTGGGTCGTCCCGCTATCGGGATACGTGGGGTGAGGTAGGATCGGTCACTGGGCGGAGGCTTCAAACGGCGGTGAAGCCGGGATGGTTCGATTTCGAAAACGCATGCCGGATCGACGGAGATACACTACATACGTACAACGCTTATGATGACGCAAAAGAACACGACGAAGAACAACTCAGAGCCTTCTGCTCGTGGTTATTGGGAGTTTGGGATGACGATGGACATGAATGGGATGGAGCTGTTGGGGTAGGTGGTGGTTTTCTGAGGGAACAACAGGTCACCTCTGAAGTATCCGACTTTGCAGCAAACGTATATGAACGAGGTCTCGCTTGTTCATTCACGGTTCACACTGGCAATTCTGCCGTTCGTTTGCTTTCCCAGACCCGCTCGGTCATTTGGTTGGATGATGAACATTTGTCACCTTTTGGTAATTGGCGTTTTTAGGTACTAGCATCTAAACTTCATCTCTGTTCCCTTTTTTCCCTTCCTCTTATGATTTCCTTCCCGCTGCCACCTGCGTCGTTACGTTACACGGCAACGGGCTTGGGTAGGATGATCACCAGGTACGCAAACCTGCATGTCGTCCTAAACCTTTCACGAAAGGTTATCTTTCCGACCCTGTAACTGTATCCCAGGTTACGGCCGACCAGGGTGAACAACTGTCTCGTCAACAACTAATACGCTACCTATCATGTATCACCTCCCTGAAATCAGGTTAATAATAGTTCCCTCGGCTCATACGTGGTCCTTCTCTGTACGACTGGGCTCGGTCGAGTGTCTGACGGCTGACCATCAGCTGATTGTTTACCTGATAGGATTGGAACAAAGGATTGACAAGATGGCTGCCAAAACCCCTTTTCTGCGTCCTGAATATGCTCCCAAAGCCAAAGCCACTGCTTTGGCCTCTACAGCTTACACACTTGGTGGATCAAAGACTTCACTATACCTAGTGCGACGAGCTTCCCGCTCAGCTCATACGACGATTCTTCTTCAGGAGCTGAACCGCCGCTCCTCGGGTTGGTCATCAAACACCATGATGTTTTCAGTATCCCCTCCAAAAAAAAAAAAACAATTTCCGCGTCGCAGCGTGGGAGGCATACAGCAAACCGTACAGGTTAAGTAAACACGTCATACCATATTTAACGCCTTGCACCAGGTCACAGCAATGAACGTGATCAAAACGCTCGTACTACTACTATCTATACGCGCAAAGAGTTGTCCAAAGCTAGGTACCAACTAACCAAATCAAACACACCCAACCATCCATGAATCTAGAAACATGCACACGCCTCGCGTATATACACTAGTCACAGCTGTGATAACTCCTCACAACCAACTCCTGTGTCCTCGTTGTCATCCTTCAATGAAATAAAGCTCCGGGACGACCCAAGATCTGATGTACTGAATGTGGGCCAACACGAAGCTCGGAAAATTTGGCATGTCTTTCCTGTCTGATATCCAATATAGGCCTATATACAACATCGCATATAGGAATTCTACAGTCGGGCCGGATAACTAGGAGGAAAGAAAGAAATCAATGCAATAAATAAAGAAAGGAGAAGAAACCCCATTCTTGTCCCATCCTGCTGACACCTTGGACTTGGATGTTCGGAGTTGATACTCGAGAGTAGGAGGTAGGGAAGACAAAGACCGCGGATTACTCGATTCAAAGGCGAGGTGAGCCTACTTAGGAAGCTTGGGAAAGCATGTTCGGTTGCCCATGAGATGCCAAGATCCAAAGATGGGAAATGAAGAGAGGGGAAAGGGACTTGGCGATGTTGTGTCTTTCTCTCCTTTGAGGGCGAGAAAGAGGGGGAGGGTGAAGATCTCTCTTGACCCTTCATCTGTATCATGATCCGTTTGGGGAAAAAGGAAGGGGGGGAGGATAATCACATTCCGGGTGTTGTTGATCTGAATGTGCTCGGCATTGCTACGGTTTCTCGCAACGAATACCTTTAATGGTAGGCTACCTACCCTTTACATGGATACAAGTTGGTCGGTCAGACAAGCTGTCACTTCGTAACAAGAGGCAATAAGAAGTCAAGTGGTGCCCGTTGATGGAAATGTCAACGAGGCCGTCCGTTGCGATCCTAAGAGAGTTTCTCACAGTTGACTGATGACTAGGTAGCTGACGACGTACAACATCTGTTTCTGTTTTCTGAACATTGAAACAACTGAACTCGAGACCGGAGAGCCATGATGACTGATGGGTATGAGACGGGTATAAATGAAGGTCTTTCGTAGGAGGAGGAGGGGGTAAGGGGAGTGTGATTCGGTCCCTTGGTGATGATATCGGATGCTGCAGGTTGTTGAATGTCAACCCCGCGTTCACTTTCCTCGCCAATGTGCATTACCGGCACGGCACGGTAATGCATGTTTCACGTAGGAGGTTCGGAGTCGTCAACTAGATGCATCCCACTGAGAATAAGAAAAACCGCCCGGCAATGGTTTTCTGATATCGTTTGAGAGTGACATCTTGATCGTCTGCAACTATCCGTGGACCCTTTTGCTTCGAATTTGCCAATTCCAACGTCCATGAACAAAGTACTGCTGCAGCGCCCTAACTTCAGCAAAATTCACCGCGCTGACTTTAAAGACTTCTTGTCCCTATCTGGTAGTAATGATCTTCTTCCCTGGGGGTTATTTTGATGGTCTTTTTGTGGAAGCCGCACTGTTGTTGCTTGCAGCCCTGGCTTTGTGAAGATGCATGAACTGATGGGGCGGTGTTGAATTTGGCCACTCATCTTCGTCACGAGGTGAGAATTAATAAAAAGCAACGTCTTCCCCTCCTTCATCCTTTTAATAGAGACCTTTTGAAGACCAGCAATGACGCGCCATGACCGGTACAACCGGTAGCCGGAAGATTGATCACATTCAGTGAAAGGGGAGAGAACTAGTTCATGCACTCCAATATTGCTTTCGACACCTCTTCAAAGCTCAAGATATATAAATGTATCATTGCAACCCTCCACGAGATAATAATGAGTGTCGAGAAATTGAACAACACTGGTACTTCTTAATCTGAACGGCGATGCACCATTGATACTTCTCAACCGCTTCAAATATGTGCCATATTGACCCTGGGCACACCGGTCTATGAATGCTTCTCTGTTTAGACCATCTACATGTTGAAACTGAGAATGTTGGAAGTGGATACCAGGTTGATATAAAAGCGAGTAACTGTTGTTCAGGAATAGCTGTTCTCCTGAAATGTGACGGCTATTATTATATGAGGCCTCACATTGAAGGAAGCCGGGCTCCAATTAGAGTCGTCAGTCCTCAGAGGGGTTCTTGGATCTTCGCCATCACCACAAACACTCATTCATCCCCGCTCGACCCAATGCAGCCGCCGTGGCACAGTCCAGCTACGGGATGCATTTCTCGTCTGGGTAAATTGATGAGGGGTTTCCAAAGATGCATCGCAGCCCTTGCGGGTCAAGTGGACTTCGTACTGGTTAGGACTCGTGAAAAAGAAAGACCGAAAGGCCTGAGGACTAGTTCAGTGTGGGGGGAAACCTCGAAAATTGGCCAGAAATCATCATCGGGTAATCCGACCACCACTGTCAGGGAATCCGGCTGCCTGAGGGATCGTCGGCTTTAAACTCTTGTAGGTGAAGAGGAGAAGGAAGGTGAATGCGGGGCTATTGCCGTGTATAAGAAGTGTAGAACTCCCAGATATGGATGAATCGAAGTTTTATTTAGGACAAAACTTGGAAGGGCCCAAAGAAACTCTCATCTGGACAACACGCGGACTCATATCACGATGTCTCCCCTACCGGAGGAGTTCGACATTATTGTATGCGGAGGAGGAAGTTGTGGGTGTGTGGTTGCTGGCAGGTGAGTTGCATGGCTTCAAGCTGCACTTGCCGTCCTTGAAGCTCATAAAAATCTTGACAGGTTGGCGAACCTCGACCATAACCTCAAGGTGCTTCTCATTGAGGCTGGCGAGAGCAATCTCAACAATCCTTGGATATTCCGACCCGGTATCTTTCCTCGAAATATGAAATTGGACTCAAAGACTGCAACATTCTACGAGTCCAAGCCATCGAAGTGGCTCGGTGGTAGAGGGGCCATTGTACCCGCAGCTCATGTGCTCGGCGGAGGGTCTTCCATCAACTTCATGGTATGCGTGGTGGTGATATCCCAGCTGTCATAAAGTCAAGACTAACAGAAGCCAGATGTACACTCGAGCTTCCGCGTCAGACTATGATGACTTCCAAGCCAAAGGATGGACGACCAAGGAACTGCTTCCCCTCATGAAGAAGCACGAAACATACCAGCGTGCATCTCATAATCGGGATATTCACGGCTCTGGTGGCCCCATCAAGGTGTCTTTTGGAAACTAGTAGGTCCCATGAAGAAATGATTGCGGTTTCAGACTAATAGGTAATAGTACGTATCCCATCAAGGATGACTTCCTCAGGGCAGCTGAATCCCAAGGAGTTCCCGTAGTGGACGACTTACAAGATCTGAAAACTGCCCACGGTGCTGAACAGTGGTTGAAGTGGATCAATCGTGATGTAAATGTCCATTACTTCGATGGTTGGTGGCAAACTAACAAGGCGAACCTAGACCGGCCGCCGGAGTGACAGTGCTCACGCCTACATTCACGCCACTCGGGCCATTCACTCAAACTTATACCTGGCTTGTAACACCAAGGTCGATAAGGTAATCATTGAGAATGGTCGAGCGGTCGCTGTACAGACTGTGTAAGTCAGAGATGTGCACTCTCATGTGCCAGGTCGTCAACTAACACACCGACAGTCCAACGAAGCCTATGGGCAACGTAAGTTAGCGCGAATCCAGGGATTGAATGACCCTTACTCACTTGGAGACATTTACTAGGATCGCGGAGTACGCGTTTTCCGAGCTCGCAAGCAGATCGTCGTCTCAAGTGGAACAATGTCCTCTCCTTTGATTCTCCAGCGCTCTGGCATCGGTAAGTGATGCTGAAGGCTGACTAGAAGAACTCGAGCCAACAAAGAGCAGGAAGCCCTGAAAAGCTGCGGCAGGCCGGAGTCAAACCAATTGTCGATCTTCCTGGCGTCGGTCTGAACTTTCAGGATCATTATTTGACTTTCAGTGTATATCGAGCAAAGCCGGGCACGGAGACGTTCGATGACTTTGCCCGTGGTGACCCTGAGGTTCAAAAGCGTAAGCACATTTATGTCTCATGTCATCACCTGTAGAGGTAGTATTGACGAGCCCCTACTGACTTGAACAGGTGTCTTCGACGAGTGGAATATCAGAGGCACTGGACCACTGGCAACGAACGGTATCGAGGCCGGCGTGAAGATTCGGCCAACTGAGAAAGAGCTGAAGGAGTTTGAGAAGTGGCCAACTCCGCATTTCAAGTCGGGCTGGGAGACGTACTTCAAGAACAAGCCGGATAAGCCCGTAATGCATTACTCGTTGATTGCCGGCTGGTTCGGAGACCATATGCTCATGTGAGAAGTACCTTTGGCCAGTAACTCGATGATGGAGTACTCATTACTAACATGTAGTTGTCGCATGGCACAGGCCTCCTGGCAACTTCTTTACCATGTTTCACTTCCTGGAGTATCCCTTCTCACGCGGTTCGACACACATCAGGTCGGCTGACCCGTACGAAGTACCGGACTTTGATGCCGGGTTTATGAATGATGAGCGCGATATGGTCCCGATGGTATGGGGCTATATCAAGTCGCGTGAAACCGCTCGCAGGATGGATGCCTATGCTGGTGAAGTGCAGAATATGCATCCTTTCTTCAACTTCGACTCTCCGGCACGCGCGCACGACCTCGATTTGGAGGACACCAACAAGTATGCTCTGCCTGGAAACATCACTGCTGGTATCCAACACGGCAGCTGGACGGTGCCAGTGCCACCGGCGGATGAGAAGCCCAACGTGCTACATGTGACGAGCAACCGCAAGGCGAAGAGGAAGGAGCTGAAGTATTCCAACGAGGACATCAAAGCCGTCGAGGATTGGGTGAAGCGTCATGTTGAGACGACATGGCATTGCCTGGGCGTAAGTTGCTTCCGGGCCTTTACCAATGGGAACAGCGCAACACATTGTTGACTCTTGGTTTTGATGCAGACGTGTTCCATGGCTCCTCGGGAAGGCAATAGCATTGTCAAGCACGGAGTCTTGGATGAGCGCCTTAACGTTCATGGCGTCAAGGGCTTGAAGGTGGCGGACCTTAGTATCTGCCCAGACAATGTCGGCTGCAACACGTGAGTATTAGCTACCTACCCCATTGTTCGAAAACTGTTTGTAACAACATCATTAATCACGGCCGCACTCTTTAGTTATTCGACCGCTCTGCTCATCGGCGAGAAGGCGGCTGTCCTTACCGCAGAAGACTTGGGGTATTCAGGCGAAGCCCTCCAAATGAAGGTTCCCGATTATCACGCGCCGGGCGAGAGCAGACTTAGCTCGAGACTTTGAGGCCGTTGAATGCCCATTTTGATATACCGATTTTATATATATATATATATACATATATATATATTTTTCTTTCGCGTACTGGAACTTCGTCGTTGTTGAGCTTGAGGGTGGTGTGTCTTGATTTGGCTGTTTTAGTACGGTTGTTCTCTCCCTGTAACCTAAGAAGAAGTTTTTTTTTTTTTTTTTTTTTTTTTTTTTTTAGCGGCTTGGGAGAAGTTGGATTTGTTTGCAATTTCGATTGTACCAGTGGCTGCAATTATGGCGTGACGGGCTCGCATTAAGAATTTCGTAACAAGAATTCTTCGTTCCTATGCGCTCCTCTCTTTCATTGCATTGCGTCAGTGGACGATATGACTTGATGCTCCAACATGATAAACGTAGATGGAAGTAATTTACCTACCTAAGTATGGGTTGTCTTTGGGTGTTCAATGTTCCGTTCCGATTCCGAACTGTCTATCTTACCTTCCATTTGTCTTATCGTGTTCGTTCGTACCTGCCTCTAGTTATCGTGTATCTCGACATGAACAAGACCAACTTGATGCTGGACATCGGACGTTTGAACACTATCTCCTGCGTCTTGCTCTCATTCCAATTTCAAGCTGGTTCTATTCATGCTCCAGGGTTTGGAATGCGAACATCATCCTGGGGTACAACAACAAACCCCCGATGACACTTCAAGAAGGATGATTAGCTTCGAATTTGATCTAACGGGTCATCGCGTATTAGTGCGCATCGCAGTGTGACGAGAGAGGCGACAACCTACCGTAAGAAAGGCCTTGACGAGCATGGACCATTCCCTTACCGGGTATGGCCATCCTGAAGTCCTCGAGGAAGTGCACCTTACCTGCAGCAAGGCAAAGGTCGGGTACCTGTACACTCGCTGCCTATTAGACTACCACGTGCGCATATCGATACACTACTAGTGTACCTAGTGATGGGTAGGGTTGTGTGCCGGAGAAGTAACCGCCTATGTAGTCTAGACCCGTTTATGGGTGCGTGTCACACCCTCTACATGATTGGCCGGGGTGCCATAGCATCCACAGAATAGGTTGGTCCTTACAAGTAACTATTCTTCTTTAACTTCAAGCCAAAGCCTCGAGCCAGAGACACAATCAAGGACCGCTTGTTTTTCCTACACCTTTATTTATCGTCTTTTTCACGTTCATACGAATACATCAAGCGGCACCAACGTCACGAACGACCATCATGAACACGAAAACCGTGATCCCAGATGCGAGCAGCACGGCCGAGATAGGTTCCAATAGTGAAAGTCCTACTATACCCGCGAAAGATGCCCAACCCCAAGACGTCGAGAAGCAGCCATCAAGAGAGACAGTCGACGATAGGCAAAAGAAGGTTTCGGCTTTCAAGTCCCTTGGCCTTCTCGATCGGTTTTTGGCCGTGTGGATTTTCCTGGCAATGGCCGTCGGCGTCCTGCTAGGAAACTTTGTCGACAATGTCGGCCCGGCACTGCAAAAGGGGACATTTGTTGGTGTATCCATCCCGATTGCCATTGGACTCCTGGTGATGATGTATCCTATCCTCTGCAAAGTGCGATACGAGTCTCTGCACGAGCTTTTCTCCCACCGCGACCTCTGGAAGCAGATCGGGTTCAGCATCCTTGTGAATTGGATCGTTGCGCCTTTCATGATGGTAAGCATTTCTTGCCGATAATTTCGCCTTACGTATGAACGTCATTCCAAGACTAACTTTGCCCGGTGACAGCTCGCATTATCATGGGCATTCCTACCTGACAAGGAAGAACTGCGTGTCGGCCTCATCCTCGTCGGCCTTGGCAGGTGCATTGCCATGGTGCTCATCTGGACCGGCCTCGCCGGTGGCGATAACGAGTACTGCGCCATCTTAGTTGCCATCAACTCCATCCTCCAGATGGTTCTCTTTGCTCCGCTGGCTGTCTTTTTTATTCGCGTTATTAGCGGCGAATCCGGCGTGCGGGACGTCTCGTACGAGGTTGTCGCTACAAGCGTCGGAGTTTTTCTCGGGATCCCCCTCGGTGCCGCCATCCTTAGCCGTTTTACCCTCCGCTGGCTCGCTGGTCCCGTATGGTTCGAGAAGGTCTTCCTGCGCTTCGCGGGCCCTTGGTCTTTAATCGGTCTGCTGTACACTATCCTGGTACTCTTTGCCAGCCAAGGCCACGCTGTGGTCCATCAGATTGTGTCGGTGCTGCGCGTGGCCGCGCCGCTGTTCGTGTATTTCATACTTATCTTCAGCGTGACGTTGTACGTGACGTACCGTATGGGCATGGGCTACGCACTCGCTGCGACGCAGAGCTTCACAGCTGCGAGTAACAACTTTGAGCTCGCCATCGCCGTCGCCGTGGCAACGTTCGGAGCTAACAGCGATCAGGCGCTGGCGGCAACCGTCGGGCCGTTGATTGAGGTGCCGGTATTGATCGGTTTGGTTTACGCCGTGCGGTGGGCTGGCAACCGGTGGGCGTGGAAGAACTGAGTTCGGTGTAAGAAAGCACAAGATGGACATCCATGTGTTTCTTTTCCCGTGTGCAAAAAAGAGCGCTGTAGGGAGTAATATGGATGCCATTATCAAAGGATTGTATTTTTGAGGGCAAGACACTGCGAGGATATTAGCAATGTATGATAACATAGAGAAGGCAGATTATAATGGCGGAAAGAATTATGCCGCTTCGTCCAAGAGGTCAAACACTCTCGTATTCTTGACGATACAGTCGCTCGGGCCGGTACAACCGAGAACTACTCGTATACGACTGGTATCTGCGTGACCATGCATGTTGGCGAGGATCGTAGCCGCGACGTCGCAGGACGTCTCCATGCCCGAGTTATAGCGGACATCTGGATCGGGTAGATGCGACGGGGATGTTTCGCTAGAACATGGCCAATCTTCCAGAACTGTTGGTGTGTCATCTTCGTGCGGCGGGCCGATCGATTCGAGAAGACGCGAGTTCTCCTCCGTTCTGCGTGGCGGGTTTTCGCATGAAGATTCCAGATTACAGCTGCGTGCAGGTGTCTTGGGTTGCTCCGCGTTCAGCAACGCCATGACAGAGGACACGTGAGGAGTGCTCGAAGCTGTACTAGCCCTTGTCAGGAGGCGATTCTGAACCAGCTGATTGTCGATGAGATCCGGATCTCCACGACCTAAGAACTCCTCCACTTCAGCATCGGAGACCCCTTTCTGAGATAGCAAGGCACGTAGTCTCTTGTTCTCGTGCGCCACTTGACGGGCTGCTTGCTGCATTTCGAACGTGGCCTGGACACCGAGCTGCTCCTGCTCATCCAAGCGCCGCTGCAAGTCACGCATGAGCTCTTCCCGGCGGGCCCGAGACCGCCGCTGGTTTTCGCGTACCCGCTGCCTGGTCTCGGCTGTCTTGTGCTGTTGGTTTCCGTCAGTCAAAATCTCAAGGCAAATTTATATTGTAGTGGGCTCGGTCACCTTCCACGGCATGGTTCGCTCTTGAAACGATGAAAAACAAGCTTTCGAAAGTGGAAGACAATAGATGGAGCTTGGGACTGGATCTTTATGCTGTTGGGCGGAATATACGTGTCGCTTTTTCTTACTCGCAAGAGATTTACCGGGAGCGACATGAGGGCACTGTCTCATCACACAGCGCAAGGTTGAGGCTTGATGTGGTTCACGGGCAGGCAGGGTACAGTGCCCCTGAAGTCGAACGGCAGCTGCACCCCAGCTTTGTCCCCCCACATTACCGCCCCGGAAGAACCCGCTCGACCCCCTGAGCAGCCCTGTGGCCCTTGCTGCCTGAGGCGCCACAGCACTTTCCACAATCTCCTCGGCGCCCTTCCTGCAGCATCCAGGAGGAGCCGAGGCCCATGCCTACCTCTATGTAACAGCAGATCCACGGTTTATCCACCATCACCTCCTGGCGACCTGAACCTGGTACCGCACCGACCGTTCACTTGGTTTTCCCTTTGACGAACTTCCCCGGATCGAGAACTGTTCTGCAACCGACTGATACCTAGGCCTTGACTCTACCGCCAGTTTTTGTCCGCCGTCTCCATCTTCAATCCGTCCAGGGCATCCCATCCATCCATCCATTCAAGTCGTCTGTCGCATACCCCGAGGTTGCGATATCGTCATACCAGTCTCGCGACTTCATGATCGCACCATAATCGGACCTCCCCGACTATCCATCCTACTAGCTCACATCC